TCACTGACTTTTTTGCCCTAATGACCCCCAGGCAGAAAGGAACACTTAAGTACAGCCATTAAGACAAGGGGAATTAGGCTAAAAATAACTCTCCTGGAACTCCCCATTTCCCCTTTCATGGCAGACTTAATCCCTAGGATATGAAAGACAAAAGACCTGGGACCATGATTAAGGCAGGTAAAACAGGAAAATGACACCAGGGGCAATCAGAAACACATCAAAACCCATCAAGCTGGGTATGCTTGGCTGCAAAAAAAGAAATCTTAAGAAGAATGAAAATATTAACCTTAATGTGAACGTGGGTAAATATTTCCAGGAGTATTGCATGACAATTGAGAATTTTTTTTTTCTGGTTAAACTTTTCTTTCTTTTGATGAGTTAGCTTAATGGAAGTTTGTACTTTCTCCAGGTGAAAATTGATACTTTAAAACTCTATATGTATTATATTACTCTCTGCAATTCTATCCATATTATTATATTTTTTTCTGTATTTTTAATAATTTTCAATAAAATTTTTTAAAAAAAAACCCATCAAGCTGCAGGAGCTCACAAAGCTGAACATATGAAAGCAGCTATTGAGTCACATAAAACATGGTTGCTGCAAGAAGTAGCCACCTCACAAAAATTATACAACCTCAAAAACCAGTTATTACATTTACACACATAATCTCGCAAAGCTGCACATATGAAAGCATCTATTGAATTTGAGTCACATAAAACAGAACCACGTTCCATGTTTCTTGCTTTTATATGTGCAGCTTTGTGAGATTTTGTGTTTCTGTGGTGAGTATGAATCACCACACAAACACACAGAATCTCACAAAGCTTGCACAAATCTAAACATATAAAGCAGCTAAAATTTCCTAAATTTTATGTGACTCTATTTCTTGAAAAAAAATACATTTCCTAAAAACACCATTTCCAAAAAAAAATACATTTCCTAAAAACAATACCATTTCCTAAACATAATTTTTTTAAATTATTTACTACTTACCCAATTGAAGGTACAAGGCAGGCAGGCAGACAGATTCAGTTGCTCACCGATGAAATGGATGCCTTCCACTTCAAGTCAGGCAGGTTTGCCTTCTAGTCGCTCAGGATTTGGCTCCTGAAGGCTGGAGGCTGTACAACGCAGGCAGGCAAGGCAGGCTGGAGGCTGGAGGGATGGTGGAAATGTTAGGCTACGTTAGATTCTCCAGCTAGCTAATAGAGGTCGGGGATTTGGCCTGCAGGCCAGCAGGGCTCCAAGAGAGCTCTGGCTGGCTAATAGAGGCTGGGGATTTGGCCTGCCAGCCAGCAGGCCTCCAAACAAGCTCCGGATGGCTACAGGAAGTCGGGGATCAGGCCGGGCAGCCAGCAGGGCTCCAAGAGAGCTCAGAATGGTTAATAGAGGCCAGGGATTTAGCCTGCTGGGCAGCAGGGCTCCAACAGAGCTACAGGTGGCTACAGGAAGCCGGGGATCAGGCCGGTAAGTGCTTACCTTTAGGCGGGAAGAGACAGCTCCATTGGCAGAATGCACATGCGTGAGTCCCACCGGGAGGTCACCACTGAGTCACGAATAAGGTGACCAGACGTCCCGCTTTTGGCGGGACAGTCCCGCTTTTGAGCAATTTGTCCCGCGTCCCGCGGCGTTTTAAAAAAGTCCCGATTTTTCATTCTGCCTCCTGGTTCCCGGCTGCCTCCTGAATCCCCGCTGATGGCTAGAGGGAAAAAACCTGTTTAAACTCTTGCCGCGGGCTTCAAAGGGCCGCCCTACCTTAATTAGCTCGGCTTCCCCCTCTCAGCTGATTTGCACAGGGCTCTGCTCTTGCTAAATTGCTCAATTTTTTTTTCCTCTTTGTGCAAACCAAGCTCAAAACGAAATTGAAAGTAAAACAGGCTGTTGGCTTTGCGGTTTGCTTGCAACGTTGGAAAATTAGGCAGCAGATTTATTTTCCTTTTCCTCACCAAAAAAGGTAAGTGCAAACAATGGAAAATTATTTAGGGCAAAAGAGGAGAGTTCAAGATTTTAAAACACAAAAGAAAAAAAAGCTCTTTTTAACTAGGGAATTGTAATAATTGAGATATTATTAATTGTATACTGTGTTGAAAGCAGAAATGGTTAAGTTGTGGTTTGGAGGAATATATGGGGGAAATTATTTGGTTTATTATTATTGGTAAGTATAATTAATTGATTTGTAAGAAATTGGATTGCATGGAAATAATTGGAATATTCATGTTCATATTGATTAATATACAAAAAAGATAGTTATATAACTAATTGATTTATATTAAAATGTTGAATTTGTATTAAACAACTGTATTACATAATTACATAATTAACCAATGTGAGGATGGATATAAAAATAGATGACAATGGGAAGGGGTATAAAATAGAATAGAAGGGAAAAATTGAATTTGATTAAGATTAGAGATGAGGATGAAGGGTAATATTGTTTTTTTAAAAAAATAGATGAGGAATAAATATGGCAAAAAGGAAATATAGAAATTGTAAATTTAATTGAAATGACTAAACACTGTTTAAATTTGTGAACCAGCCAAATATTCTGTTCAAAGAAAATACATTGTATGTATGTATGTTTCTAATTATTGCTATTTATTCATATTTGTTCTCTTTTATTCTTTAAAGTTTAACAATTCATTCTTTATCTTAATATCTTTATATTTGTTTGGGGTTGGCTTTCTTCCCTTTCATCTTTTTTATTGTACAGCAATCTTTCTCCTCAAACCTACCACCTCTCTTTTCTTTCCTTCTTACTTTCTCTTCCCCCCCTCTTCTTCTCCTCCCTATTTCCTCTTCCTTTCTCCTTCTCCTCCTCTCTTCCTCCCTCTCTTAACCGTCACTCCTACTCTAATTTCCCTTCCCTTCCTTCATCCCTCTCAATTACTGTATCCTTTTATGCATATGGACTACTCAGAGGGCTGAAAAAGTTATTTTTGACTGGTCCTCGCACTTTTGACCAGTCCTCGAACTTACGACTGTCCTCACATTTTACATTTTTGCCCTATCTTGTCATCATGGTGAAGAGAAGCAGTTGTGAAATGAGTGACATGGTTGTTAAGAATGCTGCATGGGCATAAATATGAGGATGGTCATAAGTGTGAGGACCAGTCAAAAGTGCGAGGACCTGTCAGAAATGACTTTTTTCAGCCCTCTGGTTAGTCCTTTTGTGCATATGGACTACTCAGAGGGCTGAAAAAGTTATTTTTGACTGGTCCTCGCACTTTTGACCAGTCCTCGAACTTACGACTGTCCTCACATTTTACATTTTTGCCCTATCTTGTCATCATGGTGAAGAGAAGCAGTTGTGAAATGAGTGACATGGTTGTTAAGAATGCTGCACGGGCATAAATGTGAGGATGGTCATAAGTGTGAGGACCAGTCAAAAGTGTGAGGACCTGTCAGAAATGACTTTTTTCAGCCCTCTGGTTAGTCCTTTTATGCATATGGACTACTCAGACGGCTGAAAAAGTTATTTTTGACTGGTCCTTGCACTTTTGACCAGTCCTCGAACTTACGACTGTCCTCACATTTTACGTTTTTTGCCCTATCTTGTCACCATGGTGAAGAGAAGCAGTTGTGAAATGAGTGACATGGTTGTTAAGAATACTGCACGGGCATAAATGTGAGGATGGTCATAAGTGTGAGGACCAGTCAAAAGTGTGAGGACCTGTCAGAAATGACTTTCCAGCCCTCTGAGTAGTCCCTATACACATAGCCATGGCCACCCGGTCACATGACCAGCTAGCCACGCCCACCCAGTCACATGGCCTCCAAGCCACGCCCACACAATAAGCCACGCCCACAATGGTGTCCCTCTTTACCAATGTTAAAATCTGGTCACCTTAGTCACGAAGCAAGTAGTGGGCCACGTGGGGAAGAAGTGTATATATAGGGCTCAGATGGGTGGGGCGAGCTTCGAGTGGGCGAGTGAGCATCAAGCGTGCACTGTGTGAACGTTGGGCAGGGCAAGCAAGTGGTGACCAGGCGACCGGTACAGGGGCATGGCCGGCCAGCCATCGCTAATGGTTCGGCGACCAAGGCCAAATTATCACTACTGAACCGGTGCAAACTGGGAGCAACCCACCACTGGTGCTCTTGGATGCAGCCCTGGCCAACAGGAGTGAAGTTGCCTGCCTTGGAGTGTCTGGCCCGATGGTGCTCCCATGTAATCAATCCTTGGGAGCCACAGAAAATCAGTCATAAAATGGAGTGGTGTTGAATTGAAACTAAGAATAAATGGTGATAAAATTGTAAGGTAAACACTTAACAAGAGGTTAGAATATTGTAAAAATTATTTTGATATGACTTGTATAAGATATAAGGTAAAGAAGAATAAAGATATGTTTAGAATTGTTAAGCAGATGTAAAAATGAGTGAAACTGAATTTGAAACTAATTTTGGATAGATATAATGGATTTATATAGATGAAAATGTGAAATTTGGGGTAAAATTGGTTTTTTCTTAAGTTTTGAATTTCTTTTTTATCTTCTTTTTCTTTCTTTTTTTGTTTATTTATAAAAGATGTAATAGAAATTGTGAATTGAGCTTGTGAAAGGAATGTAAGCATGGTAACCATCTATGACCGGATCGAGATTTTTGCTCTTGAAAGTTATGTTTTTATGTTTAAATTTGAAAAAATAAATAAAAAATATTTAAAAAAAAAAAAAAAGAAAGAAAGAAAGAAAATCAATCATGAAGTTTTGGGATGTAGAGAGGCTTTGATCTCCACTGACAGACACCCCCAATGAAGCTTATTCTGTAATTCTGTAAAAAAAAATCACATAGCTAATCTTGGTAAGGTTAAGTAGCATCACATTTCACTATTTCACTTGGCTAAGTTGCAAAGGTCAATTGCTAGAAGTCAAAAAACGACTTGATACAATTAAATCAGTAAAAACATCTTCCACACGCCTTATGTAGAGACAGAACAAGCGTTTCCTATCTGGTGATGGAGGTGAAGGGAACAACATCTGTACTTAGAAAGCTGACCATACAGTAGGCAGGCTCTGTGTCTGGGTTTAAAGAGTTAAAACCATAAAGTACTTACTTCCTAGAGGGGATGGGAGAAAAGGAGAAGCACAGAGGAACTTCCTCTCTTGGGTCGCTCATGGGAGGAAGGTGGTGTGCAAGGAGGCTTTTGTCCTCTTCCATATCTGGAAGCAGAAGCTGGTAAGTGAATTTAGGGCAGGTGGGAGGAGAGTCCGGGAGCAAGTCGGGCTGTTTGGTTTCCTCCACGGCCTGGAAGCGGAGAAGCAACTGGGCTGAAGCATGTCAGCTGCTGCTGCTGCAGTTCCTTCCCTCCCCAACAGATGGCTGCAATTTTCTGCTGGTGGGAAGCTTTAAAAAGTCTCTTTCTAATTAAGGTTGATTCTTTGGGAACGGCTTCCCTCCAGATGTTGTGGGTGGTCCCATCACTGGAATGATCTGAAACTTCTGTCCCAATCCCCTGCTCATTTCACACAAATGGCTGTACAATCTCTTCCAAAAGCCACCAGTGATGGAGAACCTACAACTCCTGAAGGTAAGCTGTTCCACTGATTAATTGTTCCCACTGTTAGGAAGTTTTTCCTAACGAAGTTCTAGAATCTAGGTTGCTTCTCTCCTGATTAGTTCCATCCAATAGTTGCACATTTATGATGGCCACAGCGTCCCACACTTATGATCCCAATTTGTGACCTTCCCAGCTAGCTTCTGATAGGCAAAATCAGTGGGTATACTGGCAAGAAATTGCAAGTTACAGTCACATGAAATTGCCTTTAACAACCCATGGGTATACTGGCAAGAAATTGCAAGTTACAGTCATATGAAATTGCCTTTAACAACCCAAAGTAATTTGCTTAACTACAGAGGAACAGATGCAAGTTGGCACTGTCATGTGACATCATGCGTAATGATGGAGTTTCTTCGTGATGCAAATATCAGTTCCAATTGCAGTAGGTTAAGTGAGGACTATTTGAGTGGGGATGTCACCAGAGTTCTTGTGGACAGTGTTTTCTGCTCTTATTTGCAGTTGAGGATTTCCATGAGCAAAAATGGTGCTTCAAATCTTGCAGAGGCTTTTGGCATCATTTCATCAGTTAAAGCCCCCACATCTCTAAATTTAGCTCAGAAGGTTTGACTGTAACCATTTTGGGACATTTTGTCAGGCCTGAAAGACATAGATTTTCTCCATGTATACATGTGTAGGTGGCTGTATCCGTATTTCTCTCTGTAAGGATAGGTCTGCAATTATATAATCTATCCCCAGCACTTCAAGATATATTTCATGATAGTCTTTTGCATTGCTAAGAATTTGTGATTGACCCAACTTAAACAACTGAATTTGAATGTTGAACATGGATCTCAGTAGTCTTCCATGGGTCAAATGAATCATAAATAAGGTAAGAGAGTATTATACCGCCTGAAAATAAGCACTCAGGCTTATTTTGGGAGAGGTCTTACTTTTTTTAAGCACTACTGCTGTCCCCACCCTCTCCATCACACTGTCTGCTTGCCCACGACTGCAACGGGCCAAGCTCTCAGCATGCCTTGGCCTTCTTGGCAGAGTGCAAATATCATTAAATCGAAGCGTGGAGTGACAGGTGCGGGGGGAGAAGACAAGTGATCTGGACATGCTGCATGGCTGCCTGGGTATGGGAGGCTCATGGGAGACTTGCGTGGCAGCACTGGCAGCAGGCAGAGTTATGGGGTAGACAAGTGATCCAGACATCCTGTGCTGGTTCGGCTAAGCCATGGGCAAGCTGAGAGATGGTGGGATGGAGTGGGCAGTGTGTTGGGATCACCTCTGCCTCCCCCATGCTTCTGCCTCCACCTGTTGCTGATGCCACTGCGTAAGCCTCCTGTGAACCTCTCCTGAGGAAAAAGAGGGGAAAAGCAAAGTGGCTGGCTGTGGAGCTGCCGGCTTTGTGAAGCAGCCCAACAAGCAGAATCACCGCACTAAGCAAGAGATGGGCGAAAGTCATGCTGCCAGCTGCCTTGTGGTTTGCTCTATCATGCCTCAAATGTGGAACCCAGCGAGGAAGGCAGAGGGCAGAGTTGTGCCCAGCGCCCGTGAAACCTTTCCCTCCTCCCGTCAGATTAATGAGTAGTTCCTCGCCTTCCCTCTCGCTCCTCCCCAGCCCTTGCCACCGCCACCATCTGTCCCTCCGCTACACAAACACACACAAACACACACGTTTACACTTCATCAAAAGTGAAAAGACATGCACAGGAATCAAAAGGCTTTCTCTCTTCTCCCACTACCCCGTGCTATGCTGCAACACAGTGATCAGAACAGGCCTTCTATAAAGGAGGCAAAACACATGCCTCCACGCTCAGGATTAGTAGTTGCTGCGCTGCCCCAAGGGGCCAGCAGGATTCAGCTGCAGCTGGACACCCTCACTCCCCCCTCCCGTGTGCTCGCCGCCTCTCATGCTGGCCAAGCCCATACTCGTGGGCTTATTTTTGGGGTACGGTTTATATTAGGTCCACTCCAAAAATCAGACTCAGGCTTATTTTCGGGGTGGGTCTTATTTTCAGCAAAACACGGTAGTATTGGGACATGTTTGCTTTTTCATTGTAATATATACTTTTTTCTTTTTTCACATCAAATCTAACCATTTTATAAACAATTAAAGTTCTACTTTTCTTTGAATCTTACAGACTCACATAGGAGAAAAATTCTTTGAATGTCCTGATTGTGGTAAAACTTTCAGTTGTAATTCCAATTTGATGATACACCAGAGGAATCTCAAAGGAGAGAAACCCTTTCAATGTCCTGACCGTGGGAGAGGTTCCAGCTGTAATTCCAGCCTGGTAATACATCAGAGGATTTACACCATGGAGAAACCCTATGAGTGCCGCGATTGTGGGAAAGGTTTCATTAGAAGTTCCCACCTCATGAGACACCAGAGGACTCACACAGGAGAGAAAGCCTTTCATTGTCCTATCTGTGGAAAAGGTTTTAGTCAGAATTCTCACCTCATGAGACACCAGAAGACTCACACAGGAGAGAAACCCTTTGAATGTCCTTATTGTGGGAAATGTTTCATTAGAAATTCCCACCTCATAATACACCAGAGGACTCACACAGGAGAGAAACCCTTTGAATGTCCTATCTGTGGAAAAGGTTTTAGTGATAATTCCAGCCTAGTGACACACCAGAGGACTCACACAGGAGAGAAACCCTTTGAATGTCCTGATTGTGGAAAATGTTTTAGTCAGAATTACCACCTCATAAGACACCAGAGAACTCACACAGGAGAGAAACCCTTTGAATGTCCTATCTGTGGGAAAGGTTTTAGTGATAATTCCAGCCTGGTGATACATCAGAGGACTCACACAGGAGAAAAACCCTTTGAATGTCCTATCTGTGGGAAAGGTTTTGGTGATAATTCCAGCCTGGTGACACATCAGAGGATTCACACAGGAGAGAAACCCTTTCAATGTCCTATCTGTGGGAAATGTTTTAGTCAGAATTACTATCTCATAACTCACCTGAGGATTCACACAGGAGAGAAACCCTTTCAATGTGTTTTCTGTGGGAAAGGTTTTAGTCAGAATTCTCACCTCATAAGACACCAGAGGACTCACACAGGAGAGAAACCCTTTGAATGTCCTATTTGTGAGAAATGCTTTAGTGATCATTCCAGCCTGGTGACACATCACAGGACTCACACAGGAGAGAAACCCTTTCAATGTCCTATCTGTTGGAAAAGTTTTAGCGATAATTCCACGCTAGCGAGACACCAGAGGACTCACACAGAAAGGAAACCTTTTCAATGTCCTCATTGTGAGAAACATTTCATTAGAAATTCCCACCTCATAATACACCAGAGAACTCACACAGGAGAGAAACCCTTTGAATGTCCAGATTGTGGGAAAAGTTTCAGTCAAAATTTCAACATCATGATTTACCAGAGTACTCACACAGGAGAAAAACCATTTGAATGTCCTGACTGTGGAAAACGTTTTACTTAGAATTTCCACCTCATGAGACACCAGAGGATTCACACCATGGAGAAACCTTGTCCAGTCTGTGGACTTTACTTCAAGCATAAACCATCCCTTATTGCACACAAGGAAATCCACATGAGGCAAAAGTTGAAGAGTTTAGAGGAGGCTTGAGTTTCATTTGTGCTCTCCCATTCAAAGTGTAGGTGAGAAATTGACTGTTTGAATTCTGGTCTGATTCTTTTTACTCAAATTTCTCAGGATTAAACTTGTAGGTGGAGAGAAAAGGAAAGTGGAAAATGGCAGAATCTTCTGGATATTTCTTTTTGCAGAAGTAGTGGAATTCCTCAAAAAGAAATTTTGGATGGTGCTTTTGTATGTACGTTGATTATAGACCCACATGTGGAGTTTGGTTCTAGCTTGGTTTCACCCAGATTTTAACCCCAGAAGTCCCCACCCAGCATAAAAGTAGTCCTCAAAATACAATTACCATGTTTCCCTGAAAATAAGACCCTGAGTTATATTTTTTGAACCCAAAATGGCTTGGCCTTATTATTGGGGGATCTTATTATTTTGGGGGATGCAGGAGGCGGTGAGCGTAGGGTGCAGATAGGGTGGGGGGAAAGTGAGATGCGTGGATCATGACAGGGCTCCTCATGTTGTCTCTTCTCCCCCTCTCGCCGGGCATGGCAGGGCTTCTTGTCCCTGCCCAAATTGGAATCAATTTGGGGATTGCAGGTGGGGAGGGGTGGGGCCAGGGAGACAGGAGACGTGCTTCTTGTCTGCCTTGTTGCATGTCTCGCCGTTGTCTGCAGGCAAACACATTGTAGGGTAAAACCAAACTTCTCACGAGTTCAAGAAGTTTGATTGAACTCGTGATGTTTTTTTTACCCTACAACATGTTTGCCTGCAGACAACGGCGAGACACGCAACGGAGCTACAAGGCTGGTAAGACTCATCTCACGTCTCCCCAGTCCCACTCCTCCCACCTGCTACCCCCAAATTGCATCCAATTTGGGCAGGGGCAGGAAGCCCTGCTATGCCCGGTGAGAGGGGAAGAAGAGATGGCAAGAGTGTGTCTCATTTCTCCCCCACCCCACCTGCCACCACCCTCGATAAAGAGCCAGGAACTGTGGAAAAGGGAGCCGGGGGGCGTGGGCTTTGGGCATCTGGGGCTGCCAGGAGTCGCCCGGCGGAGAGGCGAGAGCAGGGCGGGAGTTTGCAAGCAATCGCTTCCCCTTTGCCTTCTCTACCAAAAGCGCTCCTTGGGTGCAGCCACTTGAACAGCAGGAGACTTGTGCCTTGCACCGGCCTTCCGAAGGATACTGTAGCAGCAGCTATGCACATTTTTTTAAACCTTATTTCATCCCGATCCACATGGCCCAGTACTGTCAGGATGAAATAAGAGTAAAAAAATTGTGGATAGCTGCTGCTACAGTACCCTTTGGAAGGTCGGTGCGAGGCACATGGGGCGCAAGGCTTGGCCTCCTGCGGCAGAAGTGGCCACAATTCATGGCAAAAATGGCCGCACTTGCTGGAGGCACCGGCCTGAGTGGCACCCATGAGGCAGCTGTTCCGTAGGTAAGGCAGGTTCAAGGCGTGTGGGGTGCATCACTTGGCCATGCTTGCTGGAGGTGGCAGCCTGAGCAGCACCCACGAATCAGCTGTGAATGGCGGCCTGAGTGGCTCAGCTGATCCAATTAAGGGGCCAAGAAGCCCTGAGATGACTGGGAAAGGGCTGCCTCCTGTGCTAGCCACACCCACCCTATCGCTAGGGCTCATTTTGGGGGGAGGGCGTATGTTTACGCCCATCCCAAAAATCAGGCTTGGCCTTATTTTCGGGACATGTCCTATTTTTGGGGAAACACGGTATTATGGGACTTGCAATTATGGTTGCATGTTGCAATGACTGTTAAGTGAGACTGCTTTCCTTAACTACCCGAATCCCCCTGCTCTCCCTGAGTCAGCTAGTAATTGAATGTACGAGTTGCTGAGCAGAATACTGGCTACCTCAGCACTGGGGAAAATTCTTGGAAGCCTAGTGCAGGGCCAGGCTTGTCTGCTGTAGGTATCCCTAGGCCTCCCCCACCCTCCAAGACACCCTGTGCTCTTGTTTCCTAACCCTTGTTTCCGTTCAGCCCTTCACTCTGCCCCAGGGTCCCCTTACACCTGACTCCAATCCCACCAGACCTCCCATCCTCCTCTCTGATCTCATGTTGGGGAGGGAGGGAAGGACACACATCCTTGGGCCTCATGACTGTGTCCTGGAAACCACCACCATTTTCAATGAGCCCTGAATTCATCCCTGAGCTATGCTATGCGGTGGACTTGTGGAAGTGGTTGCCATTTTGCCACATTGTCCTCTGTCACGCAGAAGAGGGAAAAAACCGATCTTGTTTTGCTACCTTAACATGAGAAAAAAAAAATGTACAATAGAAAATGTCTCATTTTTAAAAATGCATTTTGTTAGAATGATCAGAAGCGTTTGACATGTAAAAAATGGGTATTGTCAGTGTTGCTATGAACATTAGGGAAGACAAGATGCTCAGAGTTGCCTCAAACTGTGACATGAGCAGCAATAAAGTTTAATAATAACTGAATCTATATATATAAAAGCGAAAACCACTCATATTCTAATCACAAAATCTCCAGAACCATAAAGTGTACAAACTTGAAATTTGCCATGTATCTTCCTCTTTGCTTCTAGGTGCTCACTAAGAAAGGATTTTTCAAAATGACTATCAGAGCATTAGTATTTCCTGTATTATAATTAACACACTGATACTATGGAGTTCTACTCCCCCTCCCCACTGAAAAGAAATCTGTCCCAAATGCAAAACACAACAGAGGAGAGGAGTTTCACTTTCAGTTTTACTTTCGCAACAGCAAGCAGGGGATAGGATAGGGGAGGTTTCTGTCAGGCAAGGCTGAGGGAGAGGATAGGGAGGCTTCTGTGGGGCAAGGCTGAGGGAGAGAAGGGGATAGCATAGAAAAGGCTTCTGTGGGGCAAGGCTGAGGGAGAGAAGGGGATGGAATAGGGGAGGCTTCTGTGGGGCAAAGCTGAGGGAGAAGGGAATAGGATAGGAGAGGCCTCTGTGGCAAGCTTGAGGGAGAGAAGGCAATAGGATAGGGGAGGCTTCTGTGGGACAAGCCTGAGGGAGAGAAGGGAATAGGATATGGGAGTCTTCTGTGGGGCAAGGCTGAGAGAGAAGGGGATGAGGGAGTCTTCTGTGGAGCAAGGCTGAGGGAGAGAAGGAGATAGGATAGGAGACATTTCTGTAGGGAAAGGCTGAGGAGGAGAAGGGGAGAGGAGAGTCCGATCATAACTACTCATTAATTTTCAAGCTTTACAGTAAGTGTCAATTTATTAAGCCCCATCACATAGTTTCCTAGGGAAGCACGGGTATCCAGTTTAATAATAAAAAGGTAATGTAAAGCTCATTTCCCAACTCTTGCTCAATGATGAGGACTCCACACATACAGTGGATTTCTAAGGCATTATGATGGTTAACTTGTAATCAATCTCTTCTGCATTTTGCATCTCTATGACCAATCTGTCTTCCTCAGCTTCCCTTCCCTGCTCTTCATAATTTCAGTTTTAGTCATACATCGGTCCATGCACTCTGTGACTCTGATGATGTGAGCTGCAGTTAGGCTTCTGCCTCTTAATTTATGTGTTGTATTGCTATCTGCTCCAGTCCTACATTCTATGAAAGAATGGCATTTCATTAGGCACAGTTAAAAATTGTGCCTTCTAAAAAATTAAAATGGCTAAACTGGATCTGTTTTGATGGGCCTTCTTCTCGGATACAGGGATGGTCTTCTTATCACTGCCAGTCTGAGAGATGGAAATTTGAAACTGAACAAGTAAGCTACAGTTCCCCTTGTAACTTTACAACCTCTAAAGGTTATAATTGGTTATGCCAGTGGGTTTGTAGCTTTAGAAAATCACCATTACAGAGGATCTGTCTGACTTCCCTGATGATTCTCCAAATTCTGAATTGGATTATTTATTTATTTAGCATATGGTTGGTCACACACAGTATTAAAACACTTCATTTTTACAGGTTAAAAACAATTAAAACAATAAAAAAGCAGTAAGAAAACCTAAAAGGAAAACAGAAATAACATTTCAAAGTTTAATGTCGAGTTTGGAGATCCAGTCAGTAGCTGCCGTTGTTATGTAGAGGAAGTCCCTAGAATCTCCTGGATACCTTCTGTTAGGGCATTCCCTCACTATATGCTGGATAGTCTGTCGAGGGGCCCCGCAATCACATTGTGCTGAAGGTGTCTTTCCCCATTTATACAGGGAGTCAGCACATTGGATTCGATAGACATTGTGAAAGTTGAGGTCCCCATGATGGAGACAGTGAGCAGACACAAATGTTTTGAAAACCCTGGGAATGAATTTCTTTAACATAAAAAGAACTTGGCTGATCAGTCTGAAAGCTGGTCCTGAGTGTGACACTTGGGGTATTTGGAAATGCCTGTGACCCCCTCTTGGTTCTTCTGGGCTCAGTGCCCCCTGATTTTATTCTTTTTTTAAAAAAGTTTGGGGATTTTACAACTTATTTAATTAAAGCAAACTTCTCTTTCTGTTTCCACTAATTCTTCTGGAGAAATAGAAATGATGGGCAACTGTAACTGAAGCCAGAATGGGTTTAGCAGAAACATATGATGCCAGACAATTATTATTGCTATTTTTTATAAAGTAACTAAATTAGTGGATCTGCGAGATGTTGTGGAGATAGTATACTTGGACTTCAGCAAAACATTTGACAAGGTGAACCACAACTTACTTCTAGGTAAGATAGAACAACGTGGGATAGACAAAACCAGCACCAGGTGGATTCTCAGGTGACTGACAAACTGCACTCATTCAATAGTCCTCAATGAAGTAGATCTACGTGGAGAGAAGCATGCAGTGGGGTACCTCAAGGTTCAGTCCTGGGCCCAGTACTCTTCATAAATCATCTAGATGAGGGGATGGAAGGGGAACTCATGAAATTTGAAGACACCAAGTGGGGTGGAAGAGCCAATATTTTAGTAGACTCAAGATCCAGAATTTGAGAGACATGAGCATTGGGCCAGGAAAAAGCAGTTCAGTGGTGAGAAAAGTAAGGTCTTGTCTTTAGGTAGGAAAAACCAAACACACAGGTAGAGAATAGGTAGTACCTGGCTCAACAGTATTAAGGGTCAGAGGAATCTAGGTGTCCTACTGGATATGTATGAGCCAGTAGTGTGCTGTAGCTGCTAAAAAAAAGCCAGTGTAGTCCTAGGGTGCATCAACAAAGGGATTGTGTCAAGACAACAAGAAGTAATAGTACTGCTTCACACTATGCTATGAGACCACGCTTAGAATACTGTATCCAGTTCTGGTCACCACAATACAGAAAAGATATTAAGACCCTGGAAAGTGCAGAGAAGATCAATAAAGATAATAAAGGGTCTGGATGCTAAATCGTATGACTATCAGTTGAGGGAGGTAGGATAACTAGGCTATTGAAGAGAAGGATTAGAAAGAAGCATGGTAAGGGCGCTTTTAAGAAGTGGCTGTGGTCCCCGTGGCATCTTCTTGGGAAGAGCTCTGGCTCAAACCCTTCCATTTGGGACAGAGCCATCCATTTGTGTGTGCTCATAATCCCAAAGTCCACTCATCAGTCTCAGAGGAAGGGGAGCTCCCAGCAGAAATATCTCACCATGATCCTTCATATCCTTCTGGGTAACCCACCAGCTGGATAGGAGAACAATTATTTCCTCCCCACGATGCTTCCAGCAAATGACATCCAGTGCTATCTCAATATCCATATTGATTCACTTAACGACCAGAAAAGAAGTGAGGTCAAAAGCCTGTTGCAATAAAGCGATTTGCCAGAATTGCCCATCACAATTGTGGTCACTACGTGAGGACTATCAACGTTGGCTTATTCTTCCTGCAGTTCATAGGGAGGAGACCAATGTGCAGTAGGGAGTCTCTCTGGATGGCTTTCCTGTTAGAGCTGGGGTCCTGCCAGAGGGGAGGTGTTGTTGCTGGACTAGGAGTGGGGACACCCAAGTTCCAGTCCCCACTAAACCATGAAAGGTCCCTCCCCTTGGTGTAGTATTTTTCATCTCATTATACTATATATATATTTACATATAAATACACACACACATCCATATATATATGCAAAAAATTAAAATCTCGGGTGTTTTCCCGCATCATGTTAAATAAGTTAGTTAAAATGTTTAAAATTCTGGTTAAAATCCTAGCTTAAAATCTTCCAAAAATCCTTACAAATTTTAAGCTAGGATTTTAACCAGAATTTTAAACATTTTAACTAACTTATTTAACATGATGCGGGAAAACACCCGAGATTTTAATTTTTTGCATATACACACCCGCGAAAACTTAAGAAGACGTATATATATAACACCAACATGTGGGAGAGAGCATTCTGCTCTCCCTTTATTTCTTTTATCAGTAAAATATATTTGGTGTATATATATATATATATATATGTATATGTATATGTATATGTATATGTATATGTATATGTATATGTATATGTATATGTATATGTATACACACACACACACCTCAAATTTATATTTCTGGATTGGAGCTGAAAGGCGAAAGGGAAGCACTATGCTCCCTCCCATGTTGGGGTAGACCAGGTGTCTCGATAGAAAAACACTTTATATATACATATATGTATATATAATGTATATACATGTACATATATTTATAATATATATATATATATATTATATGAATATATTTCAAGTATTCATAATCATGTTTATACTTATATCTGTTATCTAATACATGCTTGACGAAATAAATAAATAAGTAAATATAAATACATAGTTCTCGCTTTTTGCATGGGGAACTTCTTGCTCTGTTTCTGTGGCGATGAGTGAATACTTGGGAGGCCTGAACAAACAAGTTAGGGATAATCATCATGGAGAAAGTCTATTGATGTGGTCACTGAAGTAAAAAACCACTTGAACACATAGAATCAATTTTAAAAATCTTGCAGCTGCCTTAGGCAGAGATGAAACAACATGGTTTTCAGCTTTATGTCACTAAATGGCGCACTGTAGATGAGCGACGCCCCATGCTAAACAACTGTAGAGCATTGGTAACTGAGGCATAAGGAGTTTAAACATTTGAACAGTAGATTCCTAGACATCATTGGCATCCTTCAGTCTCAAAAGACTATGGTATCGTGCTCTAGATTCCTAGAGAGAATTTGGAAAAGAGGAGAACAGGAGGAGAGCTTCCTCTTCCGACTCTCCGCTGAGAGGTTGGAAGTGGGGTGGGTGGGAAGGGTGGCTTTCCTGGTCTTCCCAGGGTGGAAGCAGCAGCTGAAAGCTAAGCACAGGTGGAGGAAAGACCAGAAGCAAATACGCTCTGAGTTTAAAGAGTTAAAACCATCAAATACTTAATTGCTAGAGAGGATGGGAGAAGCACAGAGGAACTTCCTCTCTTGGGTCGCTCATGGGAGGAAGGTGGTGTGCAAGGAGGCTTTTGTCCTCTTCCATATCTGGAAGCAGAAGCTGGAAGGTGAATTTAGAGCAGGTGGGAGGAGAGTCCGGGAGCAAGTCGGGCTGTTTGGTTTCCTCCACGGCCTGGAAGCAGAGAAGCAACTGGGCTGAAGCATGTCAGCTGCTGCTGCTGCAGTTCCTTCCCTCCCCAACAGATGGCTGCAATTTTCTGCTGGTGGGAAGCTTTAAAAAGCCTCTTTCTAATTAAGGTTGATTCTTTGGGAACGGCTTCCCTCCAGATGTTGTGGGTGCTCCCATCACTGGAATGAGCTGAAACTTCTGTCCCAATCCCCTGCTCATTTCACACAAATGGCTGTACAATCTCTTCCAAAAGCCACCAGTGATGGAGAACCTACAACTCCTTTTTTTATTATTATAAAGTTTTATCAAGTATTACAACAATTTTTCCCATCCCTCCTCCCCCCACATCCGTCCAACCCCCCATCCCCCACCCTGGACTTCCCAGAGCAAATACAGGGTATAATATTTAACAAACATAAACTAAAATATGCTAACTTTCTGTAATCTCCAAACTCCCTCTTGCTCTTTAACTCCCCTTTCTACTAACAAAACATAATTCAAAAAGAAAATTTTGGTTTCATTCAAAGGCTATTTGAAACTTTTTAGTCCAATATTTGTTTTGAATATAGTCAATCCATTTTCTCCATTCCGATATATATCTTTCATTTGAATGGTCCTTCAAGTATGCCGAAATTTTTGCCATCTCTGCTAAATTCACTACTTTTAACGTCCATTCTTCAATAGTAGGTAAGTCTTCCTTCTTCCAATACTGTGCCACCAGAAATCTGGCTGCTGTTATTAAATTTAAAATCAATTTAGTCTCTATGACCGTACATTCTGTAATTATACCCAACAGAAAGAACTGTGGAGTAAAATTTTATCTTCTTCTTGAGAATGTTTTGGATAATCCACCATATTTTTATCCAAAATGCTTTAATTTTTTTACATGTCCACCATATATGATAATAAGTGGCATCATCACATTCGCATCTCCAACACTTAGGTTGCAAACTTGGATACATACAGGCTAGCTTTTTAGGATCTAGATGCCATCTATAAAACATTTTATAAAAATTCTCTCTTAAGTTTTGGGCTTGCATAAACTTTACATTTCTAACCCATATTTTTTCCCACGTTTCCATCATTATTGGTTCTTCAATACTTTGTGCCCATTTTATCATACAGTCCTTAACTAGCTCTGTTTCTGAATCTATTTCTACTAATGCATTATACAACCTTTTTATATGCATTTGACTTTGGTCTCTAATTTGTTTTACCAAGTTCTCCTCATTTTGCAAGATACCAATTTTCTGATCTTCTCTCCATCTAGCTTGCAGCTGTCCATATTGAAACCATGTTTGAATTATCCTTTCTTCTCTTAATTGATTCAAAGATTTTAGTTGTAGTATACCTCTTTCCTTATTAAGAAGCTCTTTATAAATAGTCACATCTTGTTTTTGCTCTACACTTATATTCTATATCATGAGTCTGGGTATTGCCCACATTGGTAACTTATCATTTAATTTATACTGATACTTTTTCCAGACACGCAATAAAGCATTCCTTAATATGTGACTTGTAAAAGTCTTATCCACTTTCTTATCATATAATAAATAAGCATGCCAACCATAAACCAAATCATATCCCTCAATATTCAATATTCTTTCTTCTGTTGAATTCATCCAGTCACTAATTACTGATAGGGCAGCTGCCTCATAATATAATCATAAATTGGGCATTTTGAGACCTCCTCTTTCACGTATATCCTGCATTATTTTTTGCTTTATTCTCGGTCTCTTTCCTGCCCAAACAAAATTATTAATACCCTTCTGCCATATCTTCAAATTCTCATCTTTTTTAAGTATTGGTATCATTTGAAAAAGAAATAAAAACTTAGGCAAAACATTCATTTTTACTGCTGCTATTCTGCCCAACAAAGATGGAAAACATTTTTTTTTCCAATTTTCCAACTCTCTCTGTATTTTTTGCCACAACGGATCATAATTATGCTTAAATAATTTCGCATTTGATGTCGTGATATAAACCCCTAAATACTTAACTTTTTTTACTATTTCAAATCCTGTTAGTCCTTCTAATTCATCTTTTTGATTTGTAGTCATGTTTTTAGTTATTATCTTCGTTTTCCCTGAATTTATTTTAAATCCAGATACTTGTCCATATTGATTAATTATATCCATTAAACCTACAACCGACTGTAATGGTTGGGTTAAAGTAACAACCAAGTTGTCTGCGAATGCTCGTAATCTGTAGTCATATTGCCTAATTTTAATTCCATTTATTTTATCCGACCCACGTAGTTTACTCAACAAAAATTCCAAAGTCAAGATAAACAATAATGGAGACAAGGGACATCCTTGTCTTATTCCTTTTTCTATATTAAAAGTATTTGTTGAACTACCATTAATTATTATTTGGGCTGTTTGTTTCTGATATATTGCCTTAATAGATTGTGTAAAATATTCTCCAAACTGCATCTTTTCTATTATTTTCAATAAGAAATGCCAATTCAATCAATCAGATGCTTTCTCCGCATCAAGAAATATCAGCACCGCAGGGATTTGGTTGTTCTTCCCCAAATACTCTTAATAGGTTAACAACTTGCCTTACATTGCTCTTCATTTGTCTACCATTTATAAAACCAGTTTGATCATTATGAATCATTTGTTGCATGACTGTCATTAAGCTATTTGCTAGTATTTTAGCAAAAATCTTGTAATCTGTATTTAAAAGTTATATAGGCCTATAATTTTTTGGCTGGGTGTGGTCTTGATCCTCCTTTGGAATCAGAGAAATAAAAGCTGTCCTCCAGGATGGGGGTGCATCTCCTCCAGATTGTATATTAGTAAATAATTCTTTAAGTGGTCCCACCATTTCTAACTGCAAGTCTTTATAATAAGCGGCTGTCAAACCAGCCATCCCAGGGGCTTTACCCACTTTCAACTGCTTAATTGCAAACATAATTTCCTCAGAGGTTATCGGTTGATTTAAACCCTCCCTTTGCTCTTTTGTAATTATAGGAATATTCTCTTTCTGTAAATATCTATCTATATCTATACTTTGAATTTTATCACTAGCATACAACCTCGTATAAAATTCTAAAAATGCTTTCTTAATCATATTTTGCTGATAAACCTCTTTACCCTTATATTCTATTTTCTCTATAGTCCGTGGCTTTTGTTTTTTCCTTAACAGATATGCTAACCATCTCCCTGGTTTGTTAGCATTGCAAAAAATATTGTGCTTAGCATATTGCTAATTAGTTGCAACCTGATCTGCCATCAACATATTAAATTGCCCTTGCAGTAAGTTAATTGCCTCTTTTATTTTCTTATCTGCTGGGTTCAATATCAAAGCTTGGTCTTTTTTTTTTTTTTGATTTCCTCTTCTAAGTCCTTCTTTTTTTTCCCCTGTTTATGTCTATGTTTATTATTCAAATATATCAAAATACCTCTCATATATGCTTTATTTGCATCCCAAACCATTTCCATAGATGTACCCTTATGCATATTCATAATGAAAAATTCTTTCATAAATTTTTTACATTCTTTTACATTTTCCTCATATCTAAACAGATTTTCATTTAACCTCCAAGACCTCTTAAATCCCTTTCCATACTCTAATTCCATCCAAACTGGACTATGATCCGTTAAAACTCTTGGACAAATCTTCGTTTTCTTCACCCTAGAAAAGAGATCATTAGTAATTAATATGAAATCAATCCTAGAGAAAGATTGATGTCTATCAGAAAAGAAAGTAAAATCTTTTTCTTCAGAATTCCTCTCTCACCAAATATCTCTCAACTCCATATCATCCATCATCTCAAAAAATGATTTTGGCAATCTGGCACGCATTGAGATATTTTGCAAAAGTCCCTTCTTATCTTTTTTAGTGTTCAAAACTCCATTCCAATCACCCAATAAAATGCATGATTTATAATGCCATTGTAGTAACTTAGAATGTAAAAGCTTATAAAAATTTTCCTGTTGTTGGTTCAGTGCATATACTCCAATTAAAAGTATTTTTCCCCCTTTTATTAAAAGTTCAATTGCTATAAATCTTCCTTGATCATCTGCTTCAATTAGTTTAGCAATTAAGTCTTTTTTTAAGTATATAACTATACCATTCTTCTTCTCAGGAGCAGATGCAACAAAATGTGTACCTAGCTTTGCATTTATTAAATATTTTTGATCTTTCCTTCTAATATGAGTCTCTTGTAGACAGATTACTTCATTTTTAAACTGTTTCAGATAATGAAATATTTTTCTCCTCTTCTGTGATGAATTTAAGCCATTAACATTCCAACTCAGAAATCTAGTTGCCATTCTTGGCCCCCTGAAGCTTGCGGAGCATTTGCTGGAAATCTCCATGCATTTTGCTTTTTGGCCTTGCTCCTCCCACTGCTTGTAGTTTGTTGAGTTGTCATCTGAAGTTGCTGCACTCTTAATTCTTCTTGACGCTTGGCTGCCGCTCGGGTCTGTCTTTGATCCTTAGGTTCTTCTATTTTTTCAAATACCTCCAAAGCTTGAGCAGTAGTTGAAAGTTGTATTAAATCTTCTTGAATAATCAAAGCTCCCCTTTGGGCCTGTACCAACCATTCTTCCTTCTCCCCCTTTCTTGCCCCCTCTGCTTCCGTCTTCCTTCTGGCTTCTGGGGACTGTGGGCATCCAGCCTTTAGTACATTGGTGTAAAAATCTCTTGCCTTCCACACTGAATTGAGATGATATCTTTATCCTGAATAATTCACCACTAGTCCAGCTGGAACCTCCCATCTGTACTGTATCTGACGGTTTCTCAGTTCTTCCACCAGGAAGGTATAATCCCTTCTGGCTCTCAACATTTGGGGGGGGGGGTTCTTTCAGTATTAAAACCTCCTGCCCCTGCACTTGAGGTTTATTTTTAAAAGTGGCTTGTAAAATTTCATTGCGTATTCTCCTTGTAGTAAAGTAAACTACAATGTCTCTTGGTAAATGTTTCTGTCTGGCGACCCATGAATTGACATGGTAAATTTTGTCAGTTTGCCACTCAAGATTTGCTTTTTGTTCTCCCATTATCTGTGCGAATGCTTCTGAAAAAATCTCTCTCAGATTCTCTTGCTTATTTTCCTTCAGGCCTCTTACTCTCAAAGCAAATTCCATGTCTCTATATTGTATCATTATTACATCGGCCTCTGCTCTTTCCATCTTATTCTGAATCTCTCCCATTTTATTTTCCAAATTCACATTAAACTGCTTAATTTCTTCCATTCTTTCATCTAGTGTTTCAATATGGCTTGCCAGACCTTGGACTGCCATGACAATATCTTCTCTAATTTCCTGATTTCGATTTTGAATAAACTGTTTAATTTCAGCCATCTCATCAGCAACATCTCGCATTTTATCCTCAAACACCAAAGTAATTTTTTTTCTGTAACAGAGGCTTGTGTTTTAAGGGCTTCCTGCAACATTTCAAGTGTTAATATTGGTGGTTCCGTTGGAGCTTTGAGGGATTGCAATTTGGACGTTTGAGCTGGCAAGCTCCCAGCGCTTTTAACAACAGTCTTTATTTGTTTTGAAGCCATTTTTAATTTCCAATTTGAATTTATTCAGCAACCATCACAACAAATCCATCAAATCCAAAAGTTTCCAATCTTTAAATAATGTCAATCATTTTTTAAAAACACTACTATAGTCTTTTTAACCTTTATTCTTTCTTTCAAAGCAAGGATCTCGAGTTTTAAACAGGGGCTGCCAGCGCTAAATGGAACTTTCCTTTTAACTTTCACTTTCACGCCCCATTAGAGCTCAATCGCCATCTTGGTTTCACTTTCTTCCCTTAATAGCTCAGAAGGAAGTAATACACATTTGGAGTTAAAGTTTAGTACTTGCAAATCTGATTTCTCCTGGCTTTGCTCAGCCTGCTTCCAAGTCCAATGTTTAATTCAAAGCGTTGTTTGCCGGGGTGGTCGCGGCGTCTTGTTCTGCTTAAAGCAGAAATGTCCTGGATCCGGAGCTCTGTCGGGCTTCCAGGGAGCTCTCACCCTTCGAGCCCCAGAATTGTTCCTGGGGCTTCTTGGGGAGCTCTACCTACACCCGTCTGCTCTCTTCCTCCCCTTTTCCCGTGGAGAAAGTTTCCAAGCCGCTAGACAGCTGATTTGCGCTGTTCTAGCGGCTTTACGCGATCGTGGGGCTGGCGCTCACAAAAGGAGCGTCTTCGGCACCTATGGTGCCACCGGAAGTCCGGAACACCTACAACTCCTGAAGGTAAGCTGTTCCACTGGTTAATTGTTCCCACTGTTAGGAAGTTTTTCCTAACGAAGTTCTAGAACCTAGGTTGCTTCTCTCCTGATTAGTTCCATCCAATAGTTGCACATTTATGATGGTCACGGCATCCCACACTCATGATCCCAATTTGTGACCTTCCCAGCTAGCTTCTGATAAGCAAGATCAGTGGGTATACTGTAGTGATGAAATCTAAAATTTGTTACTACCGGTTCTGTGGGTGTGGCTTGGTGGGGGGGTAATGTAACGGTGGGCGTGGCCATTTTTTTTAACTTATAAAACCATTTTTTCTACACCTCTTCAGCAAAAAAGGAAAAGTTTTTTTTTTCTTTTAAATGCCTCTGCCGATCAAGCAACTCAGCTGGGATCGGCAGAGGCATTTAAAAGAAAAAAAAGGTTTTTTTTCTTTTAAATGTCTCTGCCGATCCCAGTTGAGCCGCGCGATCATCAGAGGCTTTGTTTTTTACTTTTAACAGCATTGTTTCGGCGGAAGAGGTTGTAGAAAAAATGCTTTTAAAAGTTAAAAAAAAGCCTCTGATGATTGTGCAGCTCGGCTGGGCATGGGGGGAGGGGCAGTTCCCCAAACCACCCGCCTCCATCGCTACTGGATCGGGTGATCCGTTCTGAACCGGAAGCATTTCACCCCTGGTATACTGGCAAGACATTGCGAGGCACAGTCATATGAAATTGCCTTTAACAACCCACAGTAATTTGCTTAACTACAGAGGAACAGATGTAAATTGGCACTGTCATGTGACATCATGCTTAATGATGGAGCTGCTTCGTGATACAAATATCAGTTCCAATTGTGGTAGGTTAAGTGAGGACTATTTGAGTGGGGATGTCACCAGAGTTCTTGTGGACAGTGTTTTCTGCTCTTATTTGCAGTTGAGGATTTCCATGAGCAAAAGTGGTGCTTCAAATCTTGCAGAGGCTTTTGGCATCATTTCATCAGTTAAAACCTCCACATCTCTAAATTTAGCTCAGAAGGTTTGACTGTAACCATTTTGGGACATTTTGTCAGGCTTGAAAGACATAGATTTTCTTCACGTATACATGTGTAGGTGGCTGCATCTGTACTTCTCTCTGTAGGGATATGACTGCAATTATACAATCTATACCCAGTATTTCAGGATATATTTCATGATAGTCTTTTGCATTGCTAAGAATTTATGATTGACCCAACTAAACTGTCAGAGTATATTCATCAACTGAAATAGGACATGGTAACAAAGTCAGCCATGGGACTTTGTTAGGAGCCATGTTGGGAGACAGACTGAAGCCAGGGCGTGTCTTTGCAGCTTATGAGTCTGTGCAGAAAATTGAAAATGAAACTAGTCTCTCTGCTGTACTTTGTTATACTCTATGTGAACATGTCTGCTGATCTGAGCTAAAGAATCAACTGTTGGTATTGTAAATATACTTTCTGTGTTTTATGAATATAAAGAACTTAATGAATCCAGCTGATTCAGTTATCCAGCTGATTCAGTGTAGTTCTGGATTTGATTTATGCAAGAAACTCTGATGTAAACAACTGAATTTGATTAAATGTTGATGATGGATCTCAGTAGTCTTCCATGTATCAAATGAATCATAAGTAAGGTAAGAGAGTATTATACCGCCTGAAAATAAGCACTCAGGCTTATTTTGGGGAAGGTGTTACTTTTTTTAAGCGCTACTGCTGGCCCCGCCCTCTCCGTCGCACTGTCTGCTTGCCTGCGGCTACAACGGGCCAAGCTCTCAGCATGCCTCGGCCTTCTTGGCACAGTGCAAATATCATTAATTCCGAGTGTAGAGTGATAGGCGGTGGGGAGAAGACAGGCGATCTGGACATGCTGCCTGGCTGCCTGGCTCACAGGAGGCTTGCACGGCAGCACTGGCAGCAGGCAGTGGTATGGGGTAGGCAGGCAATTCAGACAACCTGTGCTGGTGCTTGTTCAGCACAGCCACTATGCAAGCCTCCTGTGTGCCTCCCATGAGGAAAAAGAGGGAAAAAGCAAAGTGGCTGGCCATGGAGCTGCCAGCTTTGGGAAGCAGCCTACCAAACAGAAGTGCCGCACCCAGAAAGAGATGGGCGAAAGTTATGCTGCCAGCTGCGTGCAATTTGCTCTATCACCCCTCAGCTTTGGAACCCAGCGAGTAAGGTGGTGGGACAGAGCTGTGCGTAGCGCCCACAAAACCTTTCCCACTTCCCATCAGGTTAACGCATAGGTACTCACCTTCGCTCTAGCTGCCCCTCCCCCGCTTTCAGAGCCCTCACCACCACCACCACCTGATCCTCCACTACACACACACACACATATACACTTATACACTTAGTGAAAAGTGAAAAGACATGCACCAGAATTAAGAAACTTTCTCTCCCACCAGCCCGCGCTATGCTGCAATGTGGTGATCGGAATAGGCCTTCCCCCCTTCTATAAAGGAGGCAAAACACATGCCTCCATACTCAGAATTAGTAGTTGTTGCGCTGCCCTAAGGGGCTGGCAGGCTTCAGCTGCACCCGGACACCATCACCCACTCCCCTTGTGCTCGCCGCCTCTCATGCTGGCCATTCCCATACTCCCAGCCTTATTTTTGGGGTAGGACTTATATTAGGCCCATTCCAAAAAATCAGGCTGGGCTTATTTTCAGCGTGGGTCTTATTTTCAGAAAAACAAGGTAGTATTGGGGCATATTTGCTTTTTCATTGTAATATATACTTTTTTCTTTTTTCACATCATCTCTGGCCACTTTATAAACAAAGTTCTACTTTTCTTTGAATCTTACAGACAAAGAAAATGTCAATAAGAGCACTCGGGACAACTGTAAATAATAAGCAACATTGAAAAGGGAAGGAAATTGAGCCAGAAATCAAAATATTTTCCATTTCCTTCAGAAAACCACACAATTCTCCTCCTCCTCCAGCAGCTGCTAGACAAAACAGAGAAAATCAAGAAAGATTTCAACCAGGAATAAGCAGATTATGTAGACCTGAAGGATGCATTACATGAAAAGTCAAGGGAGTTTATTTATCATTCAGCAAAAGAGGGAAATATTTGGAACATAGTGGGGAAACTGTCAATAGTAAAGCCACATAGAGCAGACAGGCATGCAGGCCACACCCTGTCAAGACTTAAAACGACTTAAATGGAAGCACCACTAAGCAAAGCATTGTCCATATTTTTGACTTCCTCAAGAATATCAGCCATGGAAAAGCTCCATAGATTTGCCTATTGTGCGAAAAGCACAGATTCCAAATCACAGCTGATTATGCAATGAGGAGCGAGACAGGAGAAAAGCCATACACGTGATCTCAATGTAGCAAAAACTGGTCAGAACAGCTCCCTTGTGGTTGTGTCTAGATTATGGGAAAAGCTTCATTAGAAATTTCCATCTCAGACACCAGAGAATTCACACACACACAAAACTATTCAAATGTCCTTTCTGTGGGAAAAGTTTCAGTCAGAATTCTAGCCTTGTGATACACCAGAAGACTCACATAGGAGAAAAATTCTTTGAATGTCCCAATTGTGGTAAAACTTACAGTTGTTATTCCAATTTGATGATACACCAGAGAAATTTCAAAGGAGAAAAACCCTTTCAATGTCTTGACCACGGGAGAAGTTTCAGTCGTAATTCCAGCCTGGTAATACACCAGAGGATTCACTCCATGGAGAAACCCTATGAGTGTCGAGATTGTGGGAAAGGTTTCATTAGAAATTCCCACCTGATGAGACACCAGAGGACTCACACAGGAGAAAAAGCCTTTGATTGTCCTATCTGTGGAAAAAGTTTTAGTCAGAATTCCCACCTGATGAGACACCAGAGGACTCACACAGGAGAGAAACCGTTTGAATGTCCTATCTGTGGGAAAAGTTTCGGTGAGAATTCCTACCTGGTAACACACCAGAGGACTCACACAGGAGAGAAACCCTTTGAATGTCCTATCTGTGGGAAAAGTTTCAGTGAGAATGCCAGCCTGGTAATACACCAAAGGACTCATACAGGAGAGAAACCCTTTGAATGTCCTGATTGTGGGAAATGTTTCATTGGAAATTCCAACCTCATGAGACACCAGAGGACTCACACAGGAGAGAAACCCTTTGAATGTCCAGATTGTGGGAAAAGTTTCAGTCGAAATTTCCTTCTCATGAATCACCAGAGGACTCACACAGGAGAAAAACCCTTTGAATGTCCTGACTGTGGGAAACATTTTAGTCAGAATTCCCACCTCATAAGACACCAGAGGACTCACACAGGAGAGAAACCCTTTGAATGTCCTGATTGTGGGAAATGTTTCATTAGAAATTCTCACCTCATAATACACCAGAGGACTCACACAGGAGAGAAACCCTTTGAATGTCCTATCTGTGGGAAAAGTTTTAGTGATAATTCCAGCCTGGTGACACATCAGAGGACTCACACGGGAGAGAAACCCTTTGAATGTTCTGACTGTGGAAAACGTTTTAGTCAGAATTACCACCTCGTGAGACACCAGAGGACTCACACAGGAGAGAAACCTTTTCAATGTCCTGATTGTGGGAAATGTTTCATTAGAAATTCCCACCTCATGAGACACCAGAGGACTCACACAGGAGAGAAACCCTTTGAATGTCCAGATTGTGGGAAAAGTTTTAGTGATAATTCCACCCTGGTGAGACACCAGAGGACTCACACAGAAGAAAAACCTTTTTAATGTCCTGATTGTGGGAAACGTTTCATTAGAAATTCCCACCTCATAATACACCAGAGTACTCACACAGGAGAGAAACCCTTTGAATGTTCTGACTGTGTCAGCGTTCCAGAAAACATGCCAGTATACCTACTCTAATAAATTATAAACTCCGAGGCAAACATTTCTCAAAGTTTCATTTATTAGAGTAGGTATACGGGTACATCTGGGAAAACCCGAATCTGAGAGTTTCGGGTTTTCCCTCAATCAATCAAAACCCCAAATCCAGCCCCTGCACCCATCAGTCTGTCACATGGATGTCTAAACTTGAGCCATCGCTGCAACCACTCCTTTAGATATATAAACACCATGACCTTGACCAAAGGGAAGAATGCTATTATGTCTAACTACAATCACTCTCCTAAATCCCCCCTCCTACTTTACCAAGCGCAAGGAGTTGGCAGCATGGAACCTTCTGGTGCTAATATGTCTTCCAAAGCAGACAGAGTGTGGAAAACATTTTAGTCAGAATTACTACCTCATGAGACACCAGAGGATTCACACAGGAGACAAATGTTTTGAATGTCCAGATTGTGAGAAAAGTTTCAGTCAAAATTCCAACTTCATGACTTACCAATGTACTCACATCGGAGAAAAACTCTGAATGACCTGACTGTGGAAAACATTTTAGTCAGAATTTCCAACTCATGAGATACCAGAGGACTCACACCATGGAGAAACCTTTCAAATGTCCAGTCTGTGGACTTTACTTCAAACATAAACCATCTCTTATTGCACACAAGGAAATCCACATGAGGCAAAAGTTGAAGAGTTTAGAGGAGGCTTGAATTTCATTTGTGATCACCTGTTCAAAGTGTAGGTGAGAAATTGACTGTTTGAATTCTGGTCTAGTTCTTTTTACTCAAACTTTTCTCAGGATTAAACTTGTAGGTGGAGAGAAAAGAAAAGTGGAAAATGGCCTGACTCCCATATCCCCAGACCTTACACCCTCCTCCTTACCTTTTGAAGATCTCTGATCCTCATTTTGGGAAGGGAGGGAAGGACATGCATGACTGTATCCTGGAAGCAGCACCATTTTCAGTGATCCCTGGATTTGTCCCTGGGCCATGCTGTAGACTTTAGGATGTAGCCATTTTGCCACTCTGTTACATAGAAGAGGGAAAAACCTCTCTGTTTTGCTACCTTAACATGAGGGGAAAAAATGTACAATAGAAAATGTCTCATTTTTAATAATGCATTATGTTAGAATGATCAGAAGCATTTGACATGTAAAAAATGAGTCTTGTCAGTGTTGCTATGAATATTAGGGCAAGGCAAGATGCTCATATTTGCCTCAAACTGTGAGATGGGAAGCGATTAAGTTAAATAATAAATGAATTTAATAAGAAAAAGGTAATATAAAACTCATTTCCAACTCTTGCTCAGTGATGAGGACTCCACACATACAGTGCGTTTCTAAGGCATTACAATTTTTAACTTGTAATCTGTCTTTTCTGCATTTTGCATCTCTGTGTCAGCTTCCCTTCCCTCATTATAAATTTAGAATTTCCGTTTCAGATTCAGATTCACACAGGAGAGAAACCTTATAATTGTCCAGATTGTGGAAAAAAATTCATCAGAATTCCCACCTGGTGATAAAAAAGTTTGATTGGAATTTTGAACTGGTGATACAATAGAGGAATCACACAGAAGAGAAACCGTACAAAGCTTCAGTTTGTGGGAAAAGTTTCAGTCAGAATTCCAATCTGGTGATATACCAGAGGACTCACACAGGAGAGAAACCATATGAATGTCCAGTTTATGGTAAAAAGTTTCATCAGAATTCCCACCTGGTGATACACCAGAAGATTCACACAGGAGAGAAAGCATATGAGTGTCTAGATTGTGGGAAAAAATTCTTTCAGAATTCAGACCTGATGATACACTAGAGAAGTCACACAGGTCAGAAACTGTAAGAGTGTGCAGACTGTTGGAAAGATTTTAGCACTAGGTCTAGTTTTATAAATCATGTATGTAGAGTATACATACTGGGGAGAAACCATTCAAATGCCTTGATTGTGGATGGTGCATCACAAAAAATTCCTCCCTTACTGTGCACAAGGAAATTCACATTATTCAGGAGGTGGTAAGTTTAGAGAAGTTTGAAATTCATTTGTGGTGTCCCATTGGAAGTCCAGATGAAAAACTGATTACTTACTCTGTGGCCTGATTTTTGTTAGTTAAATGTCTCATCATGAGACATCAAGGATGAGAGAGAGAAAATCAAAATGTTAATTCAACAAAGGCAAACTACGTATCTGGCCATCAGCAGGAGTCAATGTAGCAGAAATAGTGCAATTTGCAAATTGAGCATTATAGAATATAGAAATGCAATATGCAGAGTTTCAGCCTTCTCTCTGGGTGTCGTCCAGATTTTAAAGCCAGAATTTCCCAGCCAGCATATCCTTTGCACAAAATGTCTGTGAGTCATAAGCAATGTGGCAGCGTGAAAGCTTCTGGTGCTTCCAGAAACTCAATGTTTCTGAGTGGTCCCAGTAAGCTGCTGAAGCTTCTAAAAAAATACATTGTAAAAAAAATACGTACAGAGGTTGTAGCTTGAGCAGTAAAAACATTGTGGTTTTGATTATAGGGTTCTTAGGTTCATGAATAACTCCTGCTGTGATCTAGTCTTCTTGGAGATGCTGTCTTGTTACCCCAGTGGTAGCAGCACAAAGATGTTGACAAATTTGTTGCAACTGCCTTGGTGTTTGAGCTGTGAGAAATAAATTATACGGTGGAAAATGTTTCATTTCAAAAAAAAATAAAAAATTTTTTTTGTAAAAAGTTTTTTTATTTTTTACACAAACACACAAACAAACAGGTCAGAACAGAACCTGTCGGAACCTGCTGGATTTCACCCCTGGTTTATGTGCAGAACAGAAATTGAATTAATTTTATTTCAATATACAAAAAAGACACATTAAAACACGAGAGAAATAGGAGAATATCCAACCAACCCCCCCCCCCACTTTACAATAAAAAGATAAATTAGACCCCCAAAACTTACAGACACTGTCTTTAACAAAACTGAGAAAATTAAAAGGCATCCCAAACACCAGAGCAGCTGGACAAAGGGCAGGCCAAAATACAAGCTGGACAGATACAACCTTGTAGACGACCCTCACTCTGTCAAGGACCTTGGAGTATTCATCTCAAATGATCTAAGTGCTAGAGCTCACTGTAGCAGCATTGCCAAAAAGGCATTAAGAGTTGTTAATCTAATCTTGCGAAGCTTCTTCTCCAGTAACATTGTACTGCAAACTAGGGCATACAAAACCTTTGCTAGACCAATTCCCGAATACAGCTCATCTGGCTGGAATCCATATTGTATATCGGACATTAATACAATTGAGCAAGTCCAGAGGTATTTCATGAGAAGAGTACTCCACTCCTCTGCTCCACTCCTTATGCCACCAGGCTTGTAATTTTGGGCTTGGCCAACCTAGAACTATGCCACCTACGGTCTGACCTAAGCGTAATCCACAAAATTATCTGCTACAACATCCTTCCTGTAAATGATTACTTCAGCTTCAACCACAATAATACACAAGCAAACAATAGATACAAACTCAAGGTAAACCGCTCCAAACCTGATTGCAGAAAATACGACTTCAGCAACAGTGGTCAATGCCTGGAACGCACTACCTGACTCTGTTGTTACATTCTCAAACCCCCATAACTTTAACCTTAAACTGTCTACTGTAGACTTCACACCATTCCTAAGAGGTCTGTAACTGTCTACTGTGGACCTCATCCCATTCCTAAGAGGTCTGTAAGGGGTGTGCATAAGTGCACCAGCATGCCTACCGTCCCTGTCGTACTGTCCCCATTTATTCACATATTTCCTGTGTTCTTATCCATGTTTATACTTATATCTGTTATCTCGTACATGTTTGACAAACTAAATAAATAATTAAAATAAATTTTTAAAAAAGTAAATCTATGAAGAGGCAGTAATCCATGAAGGGATCAAATATAGAGAGGAACATTATTTGTAGCAGCGAAAGTAATATTTTAGCTATGCAGATGGATTATCCTGATTTTGCTGGGATTGGAAGACATCAAAGAATTCCAAGATTGTTCATTTCACCAACACAATTCAAAAAGACAGGTTACAATTTTTTTTAGGTCACATTACAACTGATCCCTTTGAAGGATACTTGGTGACCAGGAGCAGATCAGAACTGGCGTATGGAGAAACCAAGATGTAACTCAGTGGCCTGTCTAGATAATCACTGGGGACTTTCCATGACTGAGTGGAGAACACAAACTGTATCTCCCTGCTGTTAGCCCAGCACTGTCACCCGCCCCTCCCTTATGCCCAGAAGCCCCAGTGCACAGACTAAAGAAAATATCTTGGGAGATATGCAAACTCCATTACTAAAGAGATAAGGGGAAAACATCTCCCCAAGTCCACAGCATATGGATCCTATTGTGAAGAGACTCACAGAAAAACCTCTCTAATTCAGAGGAGTATAAGAAGGTGGGAGAAGGTACAAGGAAGATACTTGTGTCAGGGAATTGTGCAGCCTGTGTCCAAATGGAGTCAGAGATGCTGACAAGAACTTGTGGCTTTATATAAATTAATACATTTACAGTAAATAAGAGAGGCAAACAGGAGCATAGTGAGGTAAAATCAACACGACAGGAACATCATCAGATAAAACAGAGAGCACACAGGGCAAAAAGGCGGGAAACAAGGAAACTCCCCCTTTTCACTCAAGGCAGCCAATCACAGTTCAGATTGCCTCATGCAGTAGCCAGCTCTCTTCAATCAATCAGCTGTAACGGTGTGTTCTGACTCTTTACACAACCCCCACTGTTCCAGTTATAAATTTAAACATCTTGACACCCTTCTAATTTATAGCTGGACAGCATTTTAACCATGTTGTTTCACAAGATCCTTTCTTTTAGAACTACCAAAAGACAAAAATAAAAATTAAAAAATAAAAACCTAAGAAGTAACTGGGTTTTTGAAACAAAGACTATTTTGCAAGTTAATCATATTTTATGCATTTTAATAAATAATATCAAGCTAATCTTTTGCCAATTCAAAAATGAATTATGTGGTGTGTGAGTGGTCTGTTCTAGAGAGAGGGAATGATTGGAATTGTGCTGGTCACAAACTAAAGTGGAAATTATAAGTGACAAGTGATATGCGTGCCTTGCCTCTCTCTTCTGCTTATTTCCCTCACAAAGCATCCCTTTTCTTATTGGCCCTACTATTTTGCTAGCTTGTTTTCCTCTGATGTGACAATCCCAATCTCACAGGTGGCATCACCCCTGCCCACCATGGTTACCCCTGGCCCCTTTTGCCCAGAGCCATCACCATTGGATTGGGAAGGGAATGGAGATTTTACTGTATCCTTCCCCTGGAGTAGGGTGGGAATGGAGATTTTACAGTATCCTTCTCCTGCCACGCCCACCAAGCCATGCCACGCCCACCAAGCCACACCCACAGAACCGGTAGTAAAAAATTTTGAAACCCACCACTGCAAGAAAACCCCCAGAAGGCAAGAAAGGGGGACAGCATGTATCAATATGAGGATAAAATTAATAATTTATGTCAAATTATGTACTTAAGAGTTAAATGCAGAGCAGAAATAAATATTAATTGAATTTCAATATAGATAGAAGAAAGAAACATTAAAACTAAGACAAAGGAAATAGCAAAATACCCAAAACAAATCTCCTTACAATAACAAAGATAAATTAGACCCTCAAAACTTACTATGTATCTAACAAAATTGAGCAAACTAAAAGGTAATCCAATGCCAGAGGAGATAGTCCATGGGGCCAGGCCAGAAGCCACCAGTCCCCAATCAGAGAAACACTCATTTCCTCAGAAGAAAAGTCCGAAATTCAGATAGAAAGATGAAAAAGATATGTTATCTGGAGAGTAAGGACCAGCCAATTGCAAAGATCTTGGACTGGAACTTGAAAGCTGCAGACTTGAATTTGCTATTGGAGCAGCAGGTACAGCTCAAGGGGTACATTTTGTGGGGAGGAAGAAGATCTGGTTTGGTATAGTTGTGAAGGCACCAGATTAGAGACAAGGAAACACTCAGTCCCAGTTCCCCCTGCCAGTCCTCTCAGGCTTAAGAAACTGGAAAGGGTGAAACTACTTCCAAAACCCCTTGCCAAGGAAACTGCAAGGCCAGACATCAGTTCTAAGCTAAAAGCACCAAAAACAAATATCCAGGATAAATCTCAAGGGATGGAATGGAAAGCCACAAGTTCTAATTCAGTGTTAGGTTAAGCATGAAGAAGCTTTCCATGAGCTATGGAATATTGAGAGGCAAAAAGTATATCTCGGTAGGTAAGAAGGTTGTCTGGGGGGGACATTTGCCCTGTAAATTACAGCATGCTATCCAGGAAGTGCTTTGTACGCCATATTGAATTCCTGAATGAAAAGACAATCAATAAAATACAGATAGTACTCAACTCAGAACAGTTCATTTAATGATTGTTCAAAGTTACAACAGCACTGAAAAAAATGACTCATGACCTTTTTTCATACTTATGATCTTTGCAGCATCCCCATGGTCACGTGATTTACAATTGGATGCATGACAGCTGACTCATATTTATGACAGTTGCAGTGTCCTGGAGTCATGTGATCCACCTTTCTGACCTTCTAACAAGCAAAGTCAGTGAGGAATCTGGATTCACTTAACAACCATGTTACTAATTTAATAACTGCAGTGATTCATTTAACAAATTTGGCAAGAAGAGTCATAAAATGGGGCAAAACTTGCCTACCCAATTTCTCACTTAGCAATGTAAATTTTGGGCTCAATTGTGGTTGTAAGTTGAGGACTATCTGTATATGTTGAGGTTATTATATTTCAACTTCCTCCATACAACAAAGCTTTGATCCGATAGCTAAAAGGCCACTATCAACATCCAAACCTTACTAGATCTCCATTAAAAATGGCAGCGTAGGGTGTTGCTGTAAAAAAGTTAGCCTGGTAATCAGTCAGCCATATGTTTTGGTAGGATATTATATTCTTCCTTTTTTTTAAAAAAAAAAAGTATTTTAGAAATATTTCTTCCACTCTGGATTGACAATTGTCCCCTCTTTCTTAGCCCCCATTTTCTAAACCCTGCTGCATATTTTCCTCTTTCTGTGAGGCTCACCTGATTCGCCAGTTGCGTCCCTTTCTGGATCGGGACTCGTTAAATACGGTCACTCATGCCCTCGTCACTTCCCGCCTGGACTACTGCAATGCTCTCTACATGGGGCTCCCCTTGAGGAGCACCCGGAGGCTCCAGCTGGTCCAGAATGTGGCCGCGCAGGTGGTTATGGGAGCGACGGGCACTCCCATGTGACCCCCCCGTCCTGCGTGAGCTGCACTGGCTCCCGGTGGTCTTCCGGGTGCGCTTCAAGGTTTTGGTTACCACCTTTAGAGCGCTCCATGGCTTAGAACCAGGGTATCTACGAGACCGCCTTCTGCCACCAGTAGCCTCTCACCGACCAGTACGCTCTCATAGAGAGGGGCTCCTCAGGGTGCCGTCGGCCAAACAATGTCGACTGGCGGCCCCCAGGGAGAGAGCTTTCTCTGTGGGGGCACCCGCCATCTGGAACGAGCTCCCCCCGGAGATACGTAGGATCCCGGATCTGCGTGCTTTCCGCCGTGCCATCAAAACATTTCTTTTCCAGCAGGCCGGCCTGGCCTAACCTCTCTTTTAAACTGTTTTTTAAAACTTTAAAAAATTTTAAATTTGTCTTATGAATTTGGGGTGTTTTAAATTTCGTTTTCTGGGCCAATTATTTAATTGTATTTTAATGGTTTTTTAACATTTGTATTATATGTATTTTATTTGCCTGTTCACTGCCCTGAGTCCTTCGGGAGTAGGGCAGTATACAAATTCAAAAAATAAAATAAAATAAAATAAAAAATAATGGAGACTTGCCTGCAAGTAAATTTACAGAATTTACACATGGCATTTAACTTTTAGCAGATATACAATTTCGTCCTTCAGGAATAAAGCTTCAGGCTAGGTGCTCTTGGATGCAGCCCTGGCCAACAGGAGTGAAACTGGCTCCCCTGGAGCATCTTGCCTGATGGTGTTGCCATGTCCTAAATCCTTGGGAGCCACATTAAATAAGTCATAAAGTTTTAGGGTGTAGAGAGGCTTTGATCTCCACTGACAGACATCCCCAAGAAAGATTATTCTGTAATTCTGTAAAAAAAATGTCATTAATTTTTAGGGCTCAGGCCATAACTAATCTTTGTAAGATTAAGTAGCATCACATTTCACTATTTCACTTGGCTCAGTTGCAAAAGTCGGTTGCTAGAAGTCAAAAACGACTTGATAGCTTTAACCAGTGAAAACATCTTTGCAGATCCCTTAAATAGAGACGGGACAAGTGGTTCCTATCCGGAGATGGAGATCAAGGGGAGAAAAACTGACACTACAGTAGGCTGGCTCTGTGGTTGCGCTTAAGGAGTTAAAACCATTGAGTACTGTATTGCAAGAAAGGATGGGAGGAGAAGCACAGAGCAACTTTCTCTTCCTGATCACTCAATGGGAGGAAGGTGGTGTGCAGAGTGGCTTTTGTGCTCTTCCCAGGGTGGAAGTAGCAGCTGGAAGGTGAGTTGAGGGCAGGTGGGAGGAGAATCCGAGAGCAACTCAGGCTGTTTGGTTCCCTCCACGGCCTGGAAGCGGAGAAGCAACTGGGCTGAAGCCTTTCAGATGCTGCTGCTGCAGGTTTCTTCCCTCCCCAAATTGAAGCCCACTGGTGCTGCAGGCTGTGAAACTGGTGGCTGCAATTTCTGCTGGTGGGAAGACTTAAAAAGTCTCCTTCCAGGGAAGGTTGATTCTTTGGGAATGGCTTCCCTCCAGAGGTTGTGGGTGCTCCATCACTGGAATGAATTGAAACTTCTATCCCAATCTCCTGCTCATTTCAGACAGTCCTGCCTGCCAGTCCTCTCAGGCTTAAAAAACTGGAAAGGGTGAAACTACTTCCAAATCCCCTTGCCAAGGAAACTGCAAGGCCACACATCAGTTCTAACCTAAAGGCACCAAATGGCTGTGCAATCTCTTCTAAAAGTAGAATAGAATAGAATAGAATAGAATAGAATAGAATAGAATAGAATAGAATAGAATAGAATAGAATAGAATAGAATAGAATTTTTTATTGGCCAAGTGTGATTGGACACACAAGGAATTTGTCTTTGGTGCATATGCTCTCAGTGTACATAAAAAGACAAGATACATTCGTCAAGAATCATAAAGTACTTGATATTTTAGCTATGCAGATGGATTATCCTGATTTTGCTGGGATTAGAAGACACCAAAGAATTCCAAAATCATTCATTTCACCCACAAGATTCAAAAAGACAGGTTACAATGTTTTTTAGTAGGTCACATTGCATCTGATCCCTTTGAAGGATACTCGGTGACCAGGAGCAGATCAGGACTGGCATGTGGAAAAACCAAGATGTAACTCAATGATCTTTCTGGATAATCACTGGGGACTTTCCATGACTGAGAATAGGATAGGATAGGATAGGATAGGATAGGATAGGATAGGATAGGATAGGATAGGATAGGATAGGATAGGATAGGATAGGATAGGATAGGATAGGATTGAATGGAAATGAATTTTTTATTGGCCAAGTGTGATTGGACACAAGGAATTTGTCTTTGGTGGATATGCTCTCAGTGTACATAAAAAGACAAGATACATTTGTCAAGAATCACAAGGAACAATACTTAATGATAGTCATAGGATACAAATAAGTAATCAAATCATAGTAGGAAACAATATAAATCGTAAGGATACAAGCCACAAAGTAACAGTCATACAGTCATAAGTGGGAGGAGATGGGTGATAGGAACAATGGGAAGATTAATAGTAATAGTAATTCAGACTTAGTAAATAGTTTGACAGTGTTGAGGGAATTATTTGTTTAGCAGAGTGATGACATTCAGTAAAAAACTGTTCTTGTGTCTAGTTGTTCTGGTGTGCAGTGCGCTATAGTGTCATTTTGAGTGTAGAAGTTGAAACAGTTTAGGGATCTGTAAATATTTTCACAGCCCTCTTTTTGACTCATGCAGTATACAGGTCCTCAATGGAAGGCAGGTTGGTAGTAATTCTTTTTTCTGCAGTTCTAATTATCCTCTGAAGTCTGTGTCTGTCTTGTTGGGTTGCAGAACCAAACCAGACAGTTATAGGGATTGTAGATGACAGACTCAATAATTCCTCTAATTCTGAAAGTAAACTGTTCCACTGGTTAATTGTTTTCACTGTTAGTAAGTTTCTCCAAACAGGAAGTTCTAGGTTGCTTTTCTCCTTGATTAGTTCCATCCATTGCTTCTTGTCTTGCTTTCTGGTGCTTTGGAAACCCTCTTCTTTATGTCAACTCCTCCAGTATTGGAACACTGTTCAACCGTTCAGTGTTTTTTTAATTTCATATCTTGCCAATAAGTATGGCATTTCCTTTCCTATACATGTGGGGTGAGGGGGGAGAAGGGAATAAAATGAGGTTTTGGCCTCTCACCGACCAGTACGCTCCCATAGAGAGGGGCTCCTCAGGGTGCCGTCGGCCAAACAATGTGGACTGGCGGCCCCCAGGGGGAGAGCCTTCTCTGTGGGGGCATCAGCCATCTGGAACAAGCTCCCCCCGGAGATACGGAGGATCCTGGACCTGCGCGCTTTCCGCTGTGCCATCAAAACATTTTTTTTCCAGCAGGCCGGCCTGGCCTAACCTCTCTTTTAAACTGTTTTTTTAAAACTTTAAAAAAAAATTAAAAATTTTTTAGAGAAAGAGACCTGGGGAAAGGGAGAGGGAGTGAAGGCAATAGGGAGGATAATAGAGGCTTCTGAGGGGCAAGCCTGAGGGAGAGAAGGGGATAGGAGAGGAATGGCTTCTGTGGGGCAAGCAGAGGAATCCACGAAGGAGCAGAGGCCGTGGAAGGAAAACCCAGCAGGCCATTCAAGAGAGAGAGAGTGTGTGGCGGGGAGGGGGAGGGAGAGAAAGAGGGGCAGGAGGAGGGAGGGAGGGAGGGAGGGAGGGAGGAAGGAAGGAAGGAAGGAAGGAAGGAAGGAAGGAAGGAAAAAAAAATCCAGCCATATGAATACCATCTCATCACAGGACCCGCTTACTGGGAAAAAAGTGATCATCACCCCACCACATGACCTGCCTGCTGAGAGACTGACCACCACTCCACACAGGCCAGTAGAGGTGCCTGAGCGAGGGACCAGAGTGGACTGGTGGCCATACCAAGAGGGCCAGGAGAACCCAGACTCCAGCAGCCCTTTTAGGGGTAGCACTACGTGGGGTCTCTTCTGGGATTTTTTTCTGGGCTTTCTCGATGGGGGGTGGTCCCATCCAGAGACTTGAGCCAAGTGAGCAAAATGGACACCACTGCCGTCACTAAGTGGTGTGAGAACCAGAACTGTGAGATAGAGACAAGTTTAGCAATTGACGTCCCTGGGGATGCTTGGCCAGAACAGAAAATTCTCTAGGCGGTGAGGGCCCGTGTCCCAGACCAGAGGATATGTGTTGTAGATATGAAAGTGGACTGGGACTCTTCTCACTCTTATGTGCTATTGGTGTGGATGATAAGGATCCCAGAGTGCTTTGGGGTTGAAAGCCTTCAATTAACCAGACATAAGGGCAAGGATGATACACCCGACCCCATGGGCCATGCCTTCAGCAAAGACATTGGGCCCCCAAGTGGAGACACACACACCTTGGTTACCGTAGTGCAGGGTCTGCCCAGGCTATGGGGAACCTGACACCCAACCAAATCCTGACTGGCAACTACTGTGCAGGTGCTGGGTACAAGAAATTACGTACCTTTTCAGGGATACAGTCAGCGCCAGAGGGGGATGAAGAATATGAAACTTGGATGGAATAGGCAGTACAAGCAGTTGAAGAGTGGGATGTATCAGACACTCAAAAGAAGCAGAGGGTTAGAGAGAGCCTAACAGTCTTGCTGTAGAAGCCATTAAAAACTTAACACTCAGCCAAAGGCATTTCACTGTTGCGAGATTACTTCTGTTTACTACAGGATGAATTAGGACCTGTTGAAACAGTTTCTAGTCTGCTGTTTCAATTCGAGCAAATGTACCAGAAGAGAGGTGAAAGGCTGTCTGAGTACATTGATTGATTGATTGATTGATTGATTGATTGATTGATTGATTGATTCGATTTATATGCCGCCCTTGTCCGGATACTCAGGGTGGCTTACAATGCGTTAAGCAATAGCCTTCATACTTTTGTATATACCTGCTTAGTAGGGCTTTTGGCTCCCTCTAAGCAGTATTCTTTTTTATACAAAGTCAGCTTATTGCCCCCACAATCTGGGTCCTCATTTTACCTACCTCGAAAGGATGGAAGGCTGAGTCAACCTTGAGCCTGGTGAGATTTGAACTTGCAGTAATTGTAGGCAGCTGGTGCTAGTTAACAGCACTTTAGTCTGCTGAGCCACCAAGGCTCTTTACATCAGACAATTGAACAAGTTGCTGTATCAGATTGTGGAAAAGAAGGGGATGGATCCAGCTGAAGTAGAACAGGCCAGGATGGAGCAGCTTTATGCTCGGACCCAGTCTGGAATCAGCTAAAGATTCTGGCTGCAGGGAACATCTGGGGTTATCATAAGCTCATTAAAAGAGTTAGGGCAACAGAGGTGGTGGAGGAAGCCAAAGAGGCAACAACTGATCTGCCACCAAAATGGCCTCCAGGTGCAGAATTGAGGAAAATGAGATGACGATGCCTGGCTCACCACTATGGAAGCCAAAATATCCCATCTAACAGAAATGATGACCTCGTGGATGACAATGGGTGGTTTTGCCTTTGAATGGAAGCCCAGCTGGGCTGATCAATTAGAAGATGGGCTCTTATGCTTCAGTTGAGCAGCCACCGAGGCCAGTGATCTGTTATAACTGTGGGAGTGCAGGGCACTACGTGAGTACTTGTACAAAACCTCACAAACTACGGAGTCCGGTGCAGCTAGGAAATTAAAAAGGGCCCTTAGTGACAGAAGTGATGGGAGCATCTCCCTTAGCAAAGTGCTCCCATACCCAAGGACATAGCGAGGTCAAAGTGACGAGGCTCTGGCAACAGCCTTCAGAGACTCACAAGATTATCCAAGCACAGACCGTCAGACCAGATGCTGCGTCTCTTACCACAATGATTCCTAAACGGTGGGCCCTTCTCCAATGGTGCCAGTGCAAGTGGAAGGCATCTACACTAGGGGTCTCTTGGATTCAGGTGTACAAGTGACATTACTGTACCAGAATTTCTATGACAGGCATCTGAGGCACATACTCATACAAAAATGAGATGATTTGAAGATTTGGGGCATTGGAACAAAGAAGTTCCCATATAATGGGCATCTATCTATCCAGCTAACATTTGTTGTTGGATATGCTGAAAACTTTGACACCCTGGCCATTGTTTGTACCTCCTCCCGTGAATTAGCCAGGGCTCCCTGATTGTGGGGACAAATACCAATTTAGTTAGATGTCTGCTCACCCCAATTGTCCCAGCAGGAGATGACTTGGTGATGGGGATCAGTGTACTGACACCTGGTGCAAGAGCCACAGGCTCCTGCAGAAGGTGTGGGACGATTGTGGAAAA